AGCCTTTGGTGAGATGGCAGGCTGTGCCCTGCAGCCATGGAGGGTCATGAAGGAGCAGGGACTCCATGCTGGGGCAGAGGAGTGCACCTGAAGCAGGCTGTGACCCCGTGGGAAGCCTGTGCTGGAGTAGTCCGCTCCTGAAGGCCGCACCCACAGAAGGGGCCCTTGCTGGAGCAGTTCATGAAGAACTGCAGCCTGTGGGAGGGACCCATGTTAGAGAAATTCATGGAGGACTGTCTCGGGTGGGGCAGGCCCCAGGCTGGGCTGGAGCAGGGGCAGAGTGTGAGGATCCCTCCCCCTGAGGAGGAAGGAGCAGCAGAGACACAGTGTGTTGGACTGACCACAACCCCCATTCCTTGTCCCCCTGTGCTGCTGGGGGGCAGGAGGAAGAGAAATCAGGATCAAAACTGAGCCTGGGACGAAGGCTCAGTAGGGGGAAGGTGTTTTTAATATTTCTTTTTTATCTCTCATTATCCTACTCTGCTTTGATTGGTAACTAGTTAAATTGATTTTTCTTCCCCAAGATGAGTCTGTTTTGCTAGTGATGGTAAGTGGTGATTGACCCCTCCCGGTCCTAGTCTTCACCCATGAGCATTTTCTCCTCCCCATCCTACTGCGGGTGGGAGGAGTGAGCAAGCGGCTGTGTGATGCTTAGTTGCTGGCTGGGCCTGAAGCATGACACCTATGCAAAGAAGGTGAAAACTGTGATGTTCAGCTGATTATAATGGGAACTGTCTTTAAAAGTATCACCTTGATTGTGCTGGTTGCACTGTACTTGAGTCTTTCAAATTGCAAATCTCAGTGATTATGTGCCTAGTAGTGCTTTTAACACTTCCTGGTTTGCTTGAACATAATTCATAGCTCTTGTACTATGCCTTCACTCACACAATTTGCAGTCATCACAAAAGACACTTGTGGTCTTTCTAGATGAAAGCAGAATACCGACTGTTCATTACAAGTAAAACATCACTTTTTTTTTTTCCTTTTAATTTACCTGGACTCCTGAGAAATTAGTTATGGTGAAGAGTTCCCCTCACTTGTGAAATGCTGCGAAATAGAAAAAAGTAGGTCTGATTTTTTTTTTTAATCTGAACTATTTTGACAGGAGCCTTAACATCTTGTACTTTCAAATATTTATAGAATGATTACTGTTCCAACTAGGTCTGTAGCAAAGTGTTGTTATTTGCTGGATCCCTTTTACTTGCTTTCTGCTTGATGTTGTGGGTTTTTTGTAATTTTATTTTCAAAATGTTGTGCAGGGTAAAAATCTGCTTTAAAAGTGAAAATCCAAGATAATCCCAGCTACAGTTTTTCCAAACTGGAATGTGGTGATCAACACTGCACTTCACAAGATGCTTATTAGCCACCTGGTAGGGGTCTAGTCCTAGGAGGTATGATGACCTTTGCTGGTCTTTCCAGGTGCTGCTGAAATGTTCAAGTACTTAGTAGGGTTGAAGAGCTTGTGACATGAAACGTCAGCCAGCTGTTGTTCTGTTTTGTCCCTTTGTTTTCATTCCTTACCCTCCATTATGTGTGCGGCATGCACTTTTTAAAAGCTCACTTTAGTAGAAAAGTTATGTTGATAACAGCTAGTATTTTGGGGCCTTATTTGTAGGTAATATCAAGTCTGGTATTTGATGGTTTTTTTATTTGTAGAATGAGAGATTTTTATTTATAGGATTCTCTTTATAGGAGAGAGGATAAGATGACGTAAATTGAGGAAGAATATCAGATAAAAGGGTTTAAGCTCTGGGAATATAGAAATACAATATGTGTCTTTGGAGTGAGAGGGAAGTGAAGGTGGGTACTGAAAGAAATTGTTTTGAAATGTTTTTATTTCCACAGTGGGGTTTTTTTGTTTTGGTTTCCTCCGCCCCCCCAGTTTTCTAACACTGGGAAGTCTAAAATTTGATCTGCTGTAATGGATGTCTGGTTTTTTCCCTTCTTTCTAACAGGTCGTGACAATGCATGTGAGAAGACATCGTACATGTTTCTACGGAAAGAGCTTCCTGTGCGACTAGCTAACACCATGAGAGAAGTCAATTTGTTGCCAGATAACTTGCTGAACAGGCCTTCGGTTGGGCTAGTGCAGAGTTGGTAAGTTTTTAAAAAAGAAAAAGTGGATTAAAAAAAAAATCAGTGTAAAACTAAAGCTGTGTGTTGTTCATAATGCGTGTTTCTTGTCCAATGAAGCTTCATTTTCTTCTGTTTAATGTTAAGTAAATAGTCTAATATGGATCTTAGAGATGATAATCTCTAAGTTAGTAAAAGCACACCGTTGTCTCCTGGACAATTAAAATCAATAACTTCCAGGAGCAAGCTTTTAAAAATATTCCTTACCTTATTACACCCATGACTTACTGAAATAGCTATTCCTTTGCCAAAAGTACTGTAAGAAAACTTAAACCTTATCTGTTCTTCTCTTTGCTAAATCTTTAAAAATGTAACGTGGTATTCAGTGGAAGTTATGGAACAGGACAAAAATCTGGTGTTGCCCAGTAAGTGACATTCTCCATTGTAATGACTAGTGTATATAAAAGGTGATTCAAAGTCCTGTCATTCCCACGGTAATTAATTTCTAGCCCACTTGGGTATTCAGTGAGGTTTGGAGACTTCTGCCTTGTATGTATCTGTTAAGCTCTAAAAAATTGTTTTTCATGGAGTATTTATTATTTCTCTACCAGCAAATACTTGATCCAAAGGATTTATGTAGAAATACCTTTGCAGTGTACAACAAACTTCCCTTTGTGAAGAACGGCTTATTTATTAGGTGTGTGGGTTGCAACTCATGTTGTAGGCTTCTGTGAATTTCAGTCATAGCCCTTCAGCCAAGCAATTCCACCTTGACTGTACCTTGACTGCTGGGATTGGTCTCAATTCTGTCAAGCATCAAACTTAGAAAATATAAATTAGGACATGTGGTACTGCATGCTCTGGTTTAAACACGTTTGTCTGTGAAAGGTAGTGTTAGCTCTCTTGATGACCACTTCAGCCATAGTGATTAAGTACTTCAAATAAATGTGAATGCTGTGGAGCCACACAGCGGTGATCACTTGGTGGTTCAGTGGCAGCTTGCAAAGCTTGAAGGCTTTTTACATCTGTCTGATGTTACAGAAGCTGTTACACCAGATAGGAAAGAGTAGATGGTATGCAGGCCTTTTAGGCTTTTCTGATCTAGATGACTTGTGAAGCTGTCTGTAGTGAAATGGGGACAGATAGGTGAATGAAGAAAAGGAAATAATTTTTCTGTAGTGACTCTGCAGCGTAATTCTTCTAGTCCAGTTACGTTCTGTGGTGTATGCTTCTGCCCTGCTTGACTCCCCATATGGAGTCAAGCGACATTTGGATCACTTTTGGCATGGGAACTGAATGGGTGTTTAAAGTAGATGCCCCGTTCAGAATTTTTGTTCAGAGGTTTGAGGACTCATGGGATGACTTTTATGGCTACCATAGATGATACCGATTTAAAAAAAAATTCAACCCATGCACAGGCTGGAGTTTATTAGAATATATAATAAATATGGGGGTTGGAACTAGGTGGTCTTTAAGGTCCCTTCCAACCTAAACCATTCTGTGATTGTATATAATGACTGTAACATACTTGTCCGAGTTGTAAATTGTAAATGATGATGTATTTGCACTATCAGAGCTGTAGACGATAGTCTGTTAAATGGGTCAAAATATCAAACTTTAACATGATGAAGTAGTTTAAGCGGCATCTAATCCAGAGTTGGAAGTTTGAAATAAAAATTTGTTGTAGTATTTTTTGATTCTGATCATCAGTTAACTAACAGTTTTTGTAGAAAGCAACATCTTCACTGAGATTATGTAAGAATATTTTGTGATCTTATGTGAGAAGTAACAAAAATTACTGTAGCATATTGTCCTGATTTATAGATGTGGCCTTTAAAGAGCTTATATCTTATTTTTCTTTTGAGAAGTTTTTAATTGGTTTTTAAATATTTGCCTGTTGATTTTAAGTCCTAGTGATATACTGGTGATGAACCTTGGGCAAAGTTTACTCGATCAGTTGGGTTTTAAAAAGACCAAAACAAAACAGTTTGATTAACTTCAAGTGTGAATGACCTTGAATGTTATGCAGCCATGCTGATAGCAAGTTTTGAAACATATTTATAATTTCTTACCCTAAAATTTAGATATACCTAGAGATTCCTGAATTTTCTGTGGTAGAATAAATAAATATTTTTGTGAACTTGTAAAATGAAGTTCTTTGCACTAGAACCTTGTGTTTTTATGTGCTTTTGGCACGACTCCAAATTAGCTGGACCTTTAAAATGCATGTTCCCAGGCTATTCCTTAATGTCAGCATGCCAAAAAATACAAAAAACTCCTTTTTTGAGGGCACTGTATAGCTAAAGTGTGCTGCAGGTAGGATATGGAACAGGTGGCAGGATTGCATAATAAAGGGTATCATTACTAATGTGCTGAGGGAAGATAGAATAAAACCTTACAATTGATAAGGTCAGAGCTTGTAAAATACCTGCGTGAGTGTCAGGGTTGCACAATATGCTACTCGGTCATATTAAAAATTCACATTTTAATTAAATCTGACCATATTTCTCTACTTTAGTACTTTTCCATGGAAAAGTACTAATCAATTTCTATTTATCTCCTTGGAAAGACCCATTAGAGAAATCAGTACAGTTTGGGGATCAATCATTGTTTTTCCTGTAATTTTACCTTAAGACTAGGCTAACAAGATTGTGTTACCATAGAGATTTTCAGTTCTTTGGTGTTAGAGAGATTCTAAAGGAAAATCTTGGTGAAATACACATCGGGGAAAAAGCAAACTCATGTCTTGCATGAGTTAAAAAGAAAGAAGAAAGTCTGGAGTTGACATTATGGACTTTTACAGTGATTTCATCTATGAAATGTGCTGTTCTAGAATTACTACATTTGACAGACTAACAAGAATCCAATCTGCCCAGCAGCAATTAACAAAAGAACAAGGCTAAAGGGTGCTTGAAACCAAAGAGCTAGCCCAATGAATTGTAGTATGTTGTGATAAAAAATTAAATGCCAGAAAGACAACAGATTTGAAAGTCATAGGCTTTGATTTCTGCTTTTGGTGACTCACTGAAGATAGCAAAATGTAACTGACATTCTCTTTCTTGTCTATGCTGGGTAGGTTTTTTGTAGATCTGTCCTGTATAGTTCTGTTCATTTATTAATAATATAGCAAATAATCCACTATTCTGGTACTTTTCTTCTACAATTACTGGCTGCTAATTGTGTGCAGAGTGTGTTTAAAACATCACGGGGTCTTGCTCTTCAGTGTTTGACAAATCCTGTAGTTACCACCTTCGTTTATCTGTATCTGCACCCACAGTTCAAATCAAAAGAAAAATTCAAGGAAATAGCTGATTGTAGGAAAGGGGAATGACTTTTTTTACACATACTAGCCGTTACAGGAGTGAGCTGTACTGCCAACTGCTCACCTTTGGCCAGATTGTACTGTTGGTGGTAGTTAAGAAAATGTTGTGAATTATTTATTACAGCTAATCAGAGTTATAAATCCCCTTTTAAATATTTTTTGTACCTAATTTCTTTAATTTTGAGCTGTTTGGGAAGGAGCAGGGGGATGAATTTTGTTTAAAACCTGTAAATCACAACTGGATACAAGAAAAAGATGTACAGCATTGGCAGCTCCAAGTTATGTGGAGACTTGGACTAATATACAGGGTATGACAACATCCCAGTTTGGGTGACGTTTAGTGGTAGGCATTGGACAGCAGGTTAGATTGTTTGACTTAAGGTTACTGTTTTCTAGCTTTATTTAGTCAAGGGATTGGAAGAAATAGTAAAAGTGATGGAATAAGTTTGAATAATTTGTATTTGAAATGAATAACCTTTCTCTGAGCTGGTCTGTCTAAATTGCTGGGTGCAGTGCTTGTGCTAATGAACTTGACTTCTAAGGTAATACCAGTTGACTCTGGAATTGGAAAGAGACATTCAGATATTGTAGTCATTTCTGTCTAAAGGAAAAACAGAGATTAAAGAGAATTTACTTCAGTACATATATAAATTTTCTCAGTTTAGATTGTTTGGTTTGTGTAACTTTCCTTTGTTTCCGAAACACTCAGTTCCTCATTGGTGCTGTGCTGAGCCTGCAGCCAATGACTTTGGAAGCTGTTCCACCTCCTGGTTGTGCTGAAGACCAGGGACCGTGTTTGGCAGCTTTTTTCTGGTTGAGACCTGCTTTAGTCTTTTTCTGACTGAGAGAGTTTTCTGCACAATCACTTCCTGCATTAGATGAGGGAAATGCTTGGCTTGCCCCTGCCTGATAATCTAGTAAAAGTGTTGCTCCTTCGACACAGGAGTAGTGATGTTTGATAATTCCAGCCTTAGGGCCAATGTCCCAGTAAGCTAAAGGAGCGTATGATCTCGGTACAGCATACGAGTAATGGTGGGCAACCATTCAAATCCGCACAGCACAAAAGCCAGGTATCCACTACGTTTAGTACCAGAAATACTCGTTGCTGTTTTATCCTCAGGATCAGCACAGGATTGCTGATGTTCATTTCTGGTAGGAGGTCTGTAGTACAACGCACCTGCTGTGTTACTTCTCAAGTGTGATAGTTGTGGAGTGTCTTGCAGAGCAAAGTTGGGCACAGGAATGGGTCTTAAGCATTGCTTCTGCATGGGATTGCCTGGCTTGAGAAGTCAAAACCTCATCTTGCTGCCTCCATAGAGCCAAACTGATGATGCCCTGAACTGCCTCAGTGCCTTGTCCACCACTGTCCCATCTTTCAGTGTGGAGCTTCTTTGCTGATTGTTTATTACTGTGTTTTCCTCACTAATGATGGCACCTTTTTTCCATGCTGTACCCATGAATAACTCGACTGACCTTGATTCATGAGGCAGATGATGTTGAATAACATGTACCTCTGAAACAGAGGAGTGAGTGCGGTCATAACTCATTATGTGTTAAGTCTTGCAAGTGGAGTAGCCAAGCTCAGAGGGTAAAGCAGTTCTTTTTTCCCCAGTGAGAATAAGAGGACTGTGTGCAAGAACACGTTCTCAGAGGCGGTTAGTTCTGATTTATTGTTTCAGAAACTCAGTCCCTCCTCCAGCTGATGGTCTTGGTGATTCTTCCCCTACCTCTCTATCCTCCATATCATGTATACTGTCCCTGCATAGTTAGAACTGCTTCCGTATCTTCTACCTGCTAAATATCGCATTTCTTAATGGAGAGTGGGCTACGCCTCCTTAAGTTACTGCCCGTTCCCTGAAGCGACCCTAGATAATCTATGGAACTCCTGGGGGGGTGCGGTGATAGCTGTTCTAGGCTGGTACTGTCTCTTGGCAGTCTACAAGAACATGTTCTAAAACAAGCGGTGCTAGAGACATGAGCTACTTCCCAAACTTGTAACTGACAAACAACACTGGGGGGATTTCTGTCCTCGGTGGTGGTGGCTGCAGTAGGGCAGCAACAGATGGAGGGACAAGAGCTAACGTTACTGTGCTGCACGTGTTGAAAATGTCCGTCTCCTTGGAGAAATGCCGCAGTGACCTGCGATGGCTGGAACTGAATGGGGGTGGAGCAGCAGCGTATGGTTGTGGAGGGAGTCGGGTGGACAGCAGTGTTGCCTTAAGCCTTGCTGTGGCTTGAAGATGTAGGGTGAAGTTTCACAGCGTGCTTAAGCTGAACTCAACCTAGAGCTGCCACTAAAAGGTTTTGTTGTAATGTGAAGCTGTCGGCGCTTCGGTGACCGAGGTCAGTCTCAGGCACTGAGTTTGTGCGTAGACTGCTCTGTTGGGCTGATCTAATGGGTTGCTGCTACCGAAAGGGGGGAAGGCTTTTTCCCCATGTAGGCTTTATGGTTCTCTCTTCACTCTTGTGGTAGCTTTGGCTGGTTAGACCTTTCTGTGAGTTGATTTCATGTGTGAGAATGATTAAAAACCCCTAACAAACCTGTCTGGCTGTTTTGCCATTGCAGGAAGTTAGAGCTGTAGACACAAACATCTGATACGCTATGATAACATCAGTGTTAAAGGGGCAGCGCTTAACCAGGAGCGAAGGGAGGGCAAAGGGGTGAGGAATGACAGTGTCTTCTGGTAACCTTGGCACCCTACCTTTTATGCATGTGATTGATACCTGGTGTGATTTACTTCAAGAAACGGGTCCCGATTTGTAATCTTTAAGGCGGCTTTTCTGCTGCTAAATGTACCTGTTTCAGGGGTGATACCTGGTCCTCAGGCCCAGTGGTGTGAGATGGTGGCATTTATACTGGTGCTGGCCTGGCTTCCTACGGAGCAGGCTGGCCATGTTCATGTGGAGTCATACTTTGCCTTAAATCTTCTTTGGGCCCTGTCTCATACCACTGTGGCTCTAGGCCTCAGTTACTGTCCCTGCGTGTCAAATGTCTGAACTAGAGCGTGCTGCATTGTGCAAGAGTGGTGTTTTTACTAAACTGAGGGTTATGTCACGTGGTGGAGGTAGGGTGTGAGGACATGTGGGAGTGTGTGAAGGGGCATACTCTTCTGGAGTACTGTTGTAGGACCAGCTTGGTGCAGTGTCCTCTGGAGCTTGAATTTGGAGGGAAGGTTGGATCACTCCCTGAGGAACAAATGAACATCTGTGCAAAACGGGTGACCAGGAAATCAAGATTCAGGGATGAACTAAAATACCTGAAATTACAGACCTACCCAAAGAGAAGGAATGCTCCTGTTAGCTTCAGCTTTATTTGATTCAGTCGGTTGAGGGAGGTGATTCTCTGTCTACTCTGCTCTGGTGACACCCCACCTGGAGTATTGCATCCAGTTCTGGGGTCCTCAGTACAAGAAGGACATGGACCTGTTGGAGCGGGCCCCGAAAAGAGCAACAAAAAAGTCAGAAGGCTGGAGCATCTCTTCTGTGGGGACAGGCTGAAAAGAGTTGGGCCTGTTCAGCCTGGAGAAGAGAAGGCTCCGGGGAGACCTTATAGCACCTTCCAGTACCTGAAGGGGCTACAAGGAAGCTGGGGGGGACTTTTTACAAGGGCCTGTAGTGACAGGACAAGGGGTAATGGGTTGAAATGGAAAGCAGGGAGATTTAGACTAGGTATCAGGAAGAAATTCTTCATGGAGAGGGTCGTGAGGCACTGGAACAGGTTGTTCAGAGAAGTTGTGGATGTCCCATCCCTGGAAACATTCAGTGCCAGATTGGATGGGGCTCTGAGCAACTTGATCTAGTTCAACATGTCCCTGCTCATTGTAGGGGTTTGCACTAGATGGACCTTTACTCTGTGTTGCTGTGATTTATATAGCAGTTTTCCTCAATCGTGGACTGTAGGGTCATAAATAATACCTTTAAACTCGATATAATATATTGTATTTGCTTTCTTTTCCTTTGTGGCAGTGTCCCACTTCATTTTAGCTTTTGCAGGTGAACTGTGTACCAGTTTCTCTTGTTTGAGATGAGGTTGTAGTCTTAAGACTAAAAAAAAGTAAAAAGTAATTTAGCTTTAAGTATTTTAACCCCTTTATAATTTTTGCTTATTTCAGGTACATGCAGAGTTTCCTTGAGCTTTTAGAATATGAAAATAAAAGTCCTGAGGATCCTCATGTTCTGGATGAGTGAGTAATTTGTTTTCTTGTATCAGTTCATGTTAAAATAATCTATCTCAGACAAGTGTTTTTGTACTATAGTATAACAGTGATCTTATTTGTAAGGTCATAGTTGTGCAGCAAAGGCCAAAATTGTAATCTGGGGCAGAATGTAAGTGCTATTCAACAACATATTTTGCATTTATACAGTCTGATAGTTTAAGAAATGGCATGAAATACTTCCTCCAAGGCTGTATTGAGAATACAACACGCATGTGAGGATATACTTGTGTATGAAGTACCTGACACTAAAATGTCATTTTAATATATGTTGAGTTTAACGCTCTGTTGTACAGAATGTATATTAACACATTTCATGTCAATCATTGTTTTTATCTAAAAGATTTTGTAGTACACTGCAGTTATTGGTGTTCAGCACCCTCACTGAAAAATATTACTTATGTTTTGAGAAGAAAGGAATGCTTAGACAATTTTATCAACAAAATTGTATTAAAATTGTCATTAGAATGTTTCCTTGAAATTGTTACGCATAAACCAGAAAAAAACCTATGTGTGAGAACAACAGGTGCAATATATGCATCAGAGACTTCAAAAAAAATACAAACAAAACAACCCTCCCCCAAAATTAAGGTCTGTAGTTACCCTCTACCATATAGCAGTCAACTCTGTCTCAGGAGGTTACTTCTTGCCGGTTTTTTTGTTCCGTTTATTAGTTTTCTTAGGGTAGCTTGTCTTTTAAACTCAAATTTCTTGCCTGATCAAGCAGTGCTTTATAGGAAGTGTTTCATAAAACATGTTGCAGTCCAACAGATGCACTGTTTGTGCACAATGTGGCCTGTGCTGTGCAAAAAATGGTCTTCAGTTACTTTCAGATACACTATGTTACGTTAGGTTAAGTAAGGGGTTTATTAGGTAATGCATTTTAGATGTTCTGCTCCTTTGTCTGGGGGCATGCTGTGTGAGATCTTTACACTTAAAGTATCAAGCAGTACATGCAGGAGAAACTGGAGTGCACGAGTACCAAATTCCAAGCGTGGCAGAACTGTAGAAGTAGCTGTAAGGATTAGAGACTGAGTGAATTGTAGTGCTGTTGAACAGGGGGAAGGTAACAGTTTTCCCAATGTGAGTCCTAAGCTGGAATACTGTCTTCAGTTCTGGATGCTACCTATTGAGAAATTAAAACACACATGGACAGTACTGATGTGAAAGGGACAAGAATTAGAGACTTGGAGAGTTCCACCCTTGAATAATGTTGAAGGAATTTTAGACTGGCAAAAAAGAGATTGAAGTGTGAGACACTGGAAGTCAGAGTGTGCCAAAAAACCCAAAAGTTACTGTAATAATAGAGGATGATTGGTTGATTGAAGTGAAGGACTCAAAATGCCTGAGTTTAATACAAATTGAGATTCTATACAGGGCAAAAAGTACAAAATCTCGTATTAGTGAGAACAGACTGAGAGACCATTTCAGAGGGCTGTAGAGTATCCCATTTTAAAAGCTTTTACACATAGATTAGATAGCTTTTGTTGATGTTCTAGACATGCCTGTTCTGTAGTAGATAAATTAGATGAACTTTTTGACTACGTCTAGCTGTTACATTTTGTGATTCTACATTTACAGCCTGTTTTGCTGATGGGACAAGAATGTCTGTTTGTGGCTAGTTTAGCAGAAAGTTTTCCTACTGCTTGACTTCGAACTCACTCAAAATGTTCTTTTAAGTTACCAAAAATTAGGTGTCTATTGCCTTTTGAGATGGCACAAGCTGTCCAAGACAGTTCAGCGAGCCTGGCAAGTGTTACGCGTGTCCTGTTAAGCCTGTAATGTCACAGAGAATCACAGGATGGTTTGGGCTGGAAGGGACCTTAAAGACCATCCAGTTCCAACCCCCCAGCCATGGGCAGGGGCACCTTCCTCTAGACCAGGTTGCTCAAAGCCTCATCCAGCTTGTCCTTGATGTGCCGGTGGAGGCAGGGTGGTTATGTAGCTTCTGGTACCATCTTGGATGCTCTGCACTTAGGTAGCTGAATTTCATCTTTTAATGGACTTCACGGGTTCAAGGTAGATCAGAATATATAGATTTTTAAAAAGGGTTGATGAACAGTTTTCTTGGAAATCTGTTTTTAGAGTCTGTTCATAATTATCAAATTAATTATCTGATTCTGCCACATGGATAAAAGTAATTCTTGACTTTGTTTCATGGCAATTGCAAATACTGTTTATGATGTTCTATATTAGTATGATATATCAAATATTTGATGATGCACCAAATATTTACTCATTCAGTATAATTGTTTGTTAAAATCTGTGAAATCTTGGAATGATTGTATTATATGTAAGTAAGTAACTATAATAAGGATGTTTGGAATTTTTTGCTACCTGCTGAGGTGAAGTCCAGCTAGGGACTTAGTAAGAGTCATCTTTTATACCGAGTTTGGCCTGTGAAAAGAGGCAGAATAATTGTTATCTGATTAAAGATAAAATAGATTCTTCTTGATGGTATTGGATAGGCTACCTAAGATTAGAAAGTCAGATTTACTTTCCTGCTCTTTGCATGACATCTGTTCCTGACTCTTTGAAGACTACAGCATTTAACTGGATATTGAGCTGTAATTAACAATTATTTTAATATCCTTGGCAAACTGTCTCTTTCAAAAATACACTTAACTGCATCTATATTTATCTTCCAATAGTCCACAGATTAACAAATTTCTTAATTCCTGTATCAGTATTCCATGGTGCTTCTGTCTGGCCTAATCCTACTTCTATGGTCAGAGGAGAAATATCAGGAACTCTTAGTCATTAATGAACTATTTTTTAGTGGAAAAAACCTCCATGTGTCTGACTTATGTTTATTAACACTGTTCTTTTGTAATTGCATGTATCAGTACAGAATTTGAGCCATTTTCTGGGACTTGGTAGGTAGTGTCTGTAGGGATGCATGAATGCTTGAATTTGAATGGTACTTTTCTTCAACCAGATCAGCTTGTTGAGGAAGGACATGTAGAAGTTCAGTCCCTAAGGTATGCCCAGTCCTTTCAACCAGAGCCTGCCTTCTCCCAGCAGTATCTGCGGTGTATTTCTGAGTACCTTGCACACAGGAGCATATGAAAAGAGGGGTTGGAGCATTCTTCATCTCTCAGTTCTTCTCAGCTGTCTGTTTCTGCATTGAGCATACTGTAGAAGCCAGCTCCATATTACAGAAGACCCAGTCTTGGGTCATCGTAGTGCCCATCCTTGTTAGTGCCGTGTGAGGTATCAGCTGACTTAAGCATTTCATGATGGCCCCCATCTCTTCTTCCTTTAGCTCAGTCAGTATCCCAAACATGTGAGACTTGCCTGGATGGAAGTAATTCTGCCACAGTACTCCCCCAGCAGCTTTTGTTCAGAGCTGAATGTGGTGTCCACCTCAAGCGTTCAGAAAACATGAGGACTTAGGGAGCATTTTTGGAAATGGAATGAGTGCCTTGGTGGTCTTTTTGTCAGCTAAGGCAGACCTCAGTTCCTGTTACAGCTGACCAAGGTAACAGCACAGGAGAGAAGGGAAGCTACAATGATCTTTTAAAGAGGTTCAATGTCCACAGATGGTTAAGTTGGCAGGAGTTTTTCAATTAATGCTTTCTAAAATGGTGCAATTACTTGATCAGCTGAATATAAAACTGTCCCTGACTGTGTTACATCTCTGCTTGTCTGGGGCATCTGCTCTGGTGTTCCCCAAATTTGGGCTCTCTCTCTGAGGGAACCCTTATACGCATCAGTGTTACAGGATTATAGACATTATGCATGTACAGGCACGGCTGTCTACGAAGCTGTGCAGTAAGGTGAATCAGGAAATTGATCTGATGGAAAAATAGCTCACTTCCAGACCTGCGGTCCCTAAACACGTGGCCTACAAAGACAGGCAGCAGAGCCAGCGCAGTAGAGGGGGTGAACGGTTAAGAGTACATGCAGAGACTAAACTAATGCTGATGCTTTTCAGAGGGGCCCAACTATCGCTGCTCTTAGTGTATGAATTTGGGGACAGATAAACGTTCATGAGTGTTACCTTTATGAACATTGGACAAGATCCTGTAAAACAATTTTTTTTTTGTCTCAGCATTGCTGTGATGAAGAGGTTCAGAGGTGCTTCAGTTTATTACGGTCTGTTGGGTAGCATTGGTTATAAAGAGTTACTACATCATTGCCAGGTTACTGTTGCTGTCAGTAGTATGAGCGTACGTCAAAAGGTCAGGTTACTTTTGCATTTGTGATAGATAACCAAGATCTTTTTCCTCAAGCGGCAGTGTGGTCAGGTGGAAGTCTTTCCACAGTTTTGTCCAGCAGTGTGATCGCAGGGGTGTTAAGATAAGGTCTCCACGCTGGGTGGAAGGTGTGAGCTGGCAGAGGTGTTGGAAATTTCCTGTGGTGTCAGTGTGCCTTTGGGTAAACACACAGAGGCAGAAGTTGTTCAAAACTTGAAGGGTTTGTAAAACATGCTGTTCATGTGTACTTTAAAAGAACATTTACTCCATTCGCCGTACCCATGAGTTTCTTTGATTTTTCTCTTCGTGGCACTCTTACTCTCCCCCTCCCCTCTCCCCCCCCCCATATCCTGCAGCTGGGGGCAGCTGAAGTAGTAAGCTGCCAGTATGTCTAGAGATAACACACACACGAGAAACAGTAAACAAGACGTAACTTTCCTTTCTGCAGCACTAAGATTAAAATAGTGATTCTGTCAGCAGTTTGAAATAAGTAAGTACTGGAGTAGATTTGATTAAGGTGGTGCTATTTGGTTACTTTCAAGTAATCAGAAATGCTCCTTCAATTAGTTTTGCCCTTCAAAAGTAGCTACACCTCATAGTAGAGAAATCCTTCAGAGTGTGAACTTGGACCTGTCTTTGACAGTTCTCAACTGCCTGCTAGCTCTTCTTCAAAAAGGAGCAGCCAATCAAAAAAAAAACCCGTTGCATGTTTGTTCCACATCACTTTCTTGTCTTTAATCTTTCAGATAATATTACCCATAGAATACAGGCATAACAAAAATTTCCTGTGTCTTTGTATTGACTTTCTTATGACTTTTTTCTTGCACTGTGATGATAGATCAAAACAGAATAATATATACAGTCATTAGGAAGTCAAATAATAACTTGTGTTGTGACATTCATTAATTGTCTCTGCAGAAGTCTATAGGTGTGATTTATTTAATAGCAATGGTAACGCCTTGAACGTTCTTTGAATACAGAAGGCACTGAAGCTCACTTGACTAAAATAGCTTCATATTAATTTCTCATCTGTCAAACAAACTGCATTATTTATTCATTGTGGTTTTGAAAATACCATATACTGAATTTTGAAAAGCAGTCATTGCTGAATAAAGTTGTCAGAGCTATTCTGGAATATTCCCGCTCCCCGATAATCCCATGAGCATTCTTAAAATTCCACAAGGTCTCCCACAGTTTGAGTACAGTAAAAGCTCTGTGTCTTCCAGGGGTGTGTGGGTGAGGGGAGCGATAAGGAACAGAGCAGTAAGGTTAAGGGGATGTGTGATGACTTCTGCCCTGCTGCTTTGAAACGTGCCTGTGTACTTCATGTGTTCCATCCTTTAAAAGCATCTGCCTGATGGAAACACTTGAGTGACCTCAGTTATCTCCAAAGATGGAACGGGAGGGTTGTCATATCGCTGGAATAAGAATTCCTGACGGCATGTATTTGCACACTGAGCTCCAGCTAGGATTTGCTGGTCTGTGGCAGGCAAGCCTCCCAGCCCTTTGCCCTTCGCACTCTGTGCATTTCAGCACTTTGGCAGTGGGATGGCAGTCAAGGTTTTCCCTCACGGAGCACGGAGACATCATGTGGTATGTAGTGTGGATAGTGGAGGTATTTAAAAACAGCTAGTAAAGATCTCAGCAGAGCAGGCAGTAGAGAGTGTTGCCCGTTGTCTTTCAGATGTGATTCTCAGCTCTGTTTTTAGCTAGTGTCTTGTTGCTCTGGAACGGAGAAGCAGCATGAGTGCAGCCCGGCACTAGTCTTGAAACGAACGTCAGGTCCAAGTGGTTACAGATGACACAAAATCAAGACTTAATAAAGTTAAGAAGAGTACAAACCTTTTAAGTTGTCCAGCCAGCAAGATCAGTGAGAGAACAGTCATTCTGTACCATGACAGTTCTTTAATTGGGGGATTAAGCAGTTGAAACTTCTCCTTTTCCGTGGAACAAAATAGCGTTGAAAGACTACTGCACTGTTTGTTAACATGCAGGCAAAAACTGGTGGTTAGGCTGAGGATGATGGAAAACCGATTAAAGACGAATCCTGCATTCCGTTGGAGCTGGCAGTCTGGGGTGGGAGAAATCATGTTCAGCGTATCACTTGTCGGGAGGGGTACGGTGGGGCCGTCAGGTGGTTGTCCCTGTTAAGGCCTTATGAAAGGGAAGGAAGCGTCTGCTTTAAACGTGGTGACTAACTGGTACTCTTGTTTGCCTCTGGTGGTGCTGCTGTTCTTAGCCCTGCTCACTGCAGGGGGATTGGGCTTGATGGCCTTTAAAGGTCTCTTCCAACCCAAACTATTCCTTCCTCAGATGAGGTATATTCTGGTTTTGATAAAAAATCATGACATTTCAGTGTTCATTATAAATCTACTGAGAATGTTTTGCTGTTGGTGGTTTTTTTTTTTTTTAAAAGGATCTGTAGAATTGCAGGAATAGGCATAGCTGAACGAGTCTCCCAGCAGGTCTTTCTGTTGAAAGCTCCATTTCACTGTGTGTGCTTTTTTAGACAAGATCATGTAATCACTGTGGTGTTAACATTCATTTAATATTAGACAGTGTAGCAGAGTTGAGTAGTACTGATTTTTTTCCATGTTGGGGCTTTAGAAAGCTATTAATAATTATTATTTCAAATATGTGTGAGTTTGCATGGGCTGGGGGGGGGAAAGATGAGCACTTTGAAGATCACACTGTGTGTTGAACTGCCTTGGCAGGAGAAACAAAAATCCTCCAAGCTGTTTCAAAGTCGGTAAGTGCTTGTTAAAAGCAGTGGAAGCGGCATCTATCCTCAACCCTCCCCAGCTACCTGCCCCAGAGCAGAGCCCGTCAGAGCACTGTTGCATGTGCTCTGCCATCCAGCGGTGTAAAGGGGAACTGAAGTCACACGGGTAATTACTGCCTGTCCTGGTGTTCACATTTACCAGCGTAGATGCTAGGTAAAGGAAAGGCACTCAGAAGTTACACTGCATGGGTTGAGGTGCTGGGAAGAAAGCATGAAGTGTAAAACTTGCTAGGAAAATATGAGGGGCAGTCAGGTGGTTTTTCCTGAGTTTCCTTCCCCATCTCCTAGCTACTGTTGGTTGCAGAGAATGAGGATTACCATGGTGGATGTGATGGCAATAAAGAAAACCTTTTGTTCTCTGTTAATGGCAGAGAGAGGCTTAATTTAAAGGATTTTTTTTTTTTGTGGAGGAATAAATTAATTAGGGGCCACAAATATTTCACAGAGTGAGAGGTTGACCAAGTATTTGTCTTTAAATGGGTTTGTTTAGCTACTGCTATATTTTTATCTTCTCCCTCTGATAATTTTTGGTTGACTCTGAGGGATAATAAATAGATAAAATGGCTGTGCTGTGGGGAGTTGAAAACAGAAGTGAGAGATTCTGTTTAATTGCACTTCTAATAATCTGTTTCTAATTTTGTTTCCTCTAGCTTTTTAGACGTTTTAATTAAAGTCAGGAACAGACACAACGATGTGGTTCCAACCATGGCGCAGGGGGTGATTGAATACAAGGAAAAATATGGCTTTGATCCATTTGTTAGCAGTAACATCCAGTATTTTCTAGATAGATTCTACACCAACCGCATCTCTTTCCGTATGCTTATTAACCAACACAGTAAGTAATTGCTTTTTTCATCTTTGAGAACTCATTAGTTCTTGTTTGTAAATCTGAAGCTTTGGTTTTGTTTTGGTGGGGTTTTTTTTTCCATACTCATGCTTAATTTTAATACTGTGTGCTAATTATGGTAAAAGATATACTGGCAGCTGGTTAATTTGGTATTTAGCAGTTAACAAAACTTAATCCAAACCACCAGTACACTTTCTTCTAGAACTGTCAGGCTTTCTAGACCACGTGTTTGTCACTTTTTAATCTTGTTGGCAGTGACAGTTTGCATAGTTATACATGAAGTATGTTTAGATAGTAGTAGAGTAGCTGTATCTTTCTGCTCACAAATCTCTCCACATAGTTTCTAGAGCTGACATTTACTTCATAACGAAATGCAAGGATTCCGTAAATTTTGAAGAGGTTATGCACTGTATGTATTTTTATTGTTAGTTTTTTCGCAAGTTACCTAGACTTTCTTGCTTTCTAAAGAGTTTGAGTATTTCTAATTTGTTTTAAATTATATCCCTTGTCTCCCTCTACTTCCTGTTCAGTGCTAATGGATAAACGCTAGGATTAGTCATCCTTTGTCATTTGGTTCTGTTTTATTTGTTGTTACTAACAAGCTTACTTTTTATATTCATATTACAGTGTGAAAGGAGTTACTCGCACAGCTCCTATAACCAGTATGTGCAACCATGCAGAAAATGATCTGTGTAAAGCTAAGGACAATCTTGTGACCTCTTTTTAGTGTATCTTGTGCCTTTTAGCTCTAGAGCTTCATTCTCTGCCCAGTATTCTGCTTTCGTGAGCTCTTAGAAATGGTTGTGCGCTACAGATGACGCAGACACTAGATAGAGATGACGCAGATGCTTACACTGTAGTGTAAGGTATTTTACTACGAGTTCTGTGTCTTTCCAGTAACCTTTTATGTGACTAGCAAATGCCTCGCTGTGTGTGTGCAAATAAATTCCATGTGGCAAAGCACCCAAAATGAGATAAATGCGCATCTTATTCTTTACTTGTGCCTGGGCAGACAAATGACAGACATAAAACCAAGTTAAGTTAAAAGGCTCACATAGAAAATTTGCAACAATAAGTAAAACCATTGTTCTAATAGAATTATCTGGCCAAATGTTAGTGTAATTTGCACTAGTTCTAAAATATTAAACTTATTCCATTGAATGGAAATGGCTTTTCCTATGGACACTCTTATTTAACTGGTTGAAACTTAAAACCACTTATAAATGCTTAAAGTTTAATTAACCTTGTACAGTTTCTCTACGCTAAGCAGTGTTAGTCAGCCATCCCTGATAGCAAATACTAATCTTGAAGCAGCGGTGAAAAAGACAGTTGGAAGGCAGAATGCAGGAACAGGTTTTTGTGCAGTTTGCATTTGTTTCCTATGTTATGGACTGACTGGTTCTTACAGTGCAGTTACCAGTGTATTAGCTCACTGTGACCAGAATAGGAAAAGCTCTCAGCTCGTGTCTTCTACTCACCTCATACTGCATCTGTTTCATAGCAGAGCTGACTGATTTGCTACAATAGCAGAAAATCACTTCTGCAAAAAAGTGTAACACCTTTCTAATTCTTTGAGAGCAAAACTCTTGGTGAAGGATTTGGTGAAGTGCCAGATCTTGTGCAGAGGAGGGAGTGGGGAGCATACTGCTGAGATTCAGGGAGAAAGTTGAGTGAGACCTCTGTGCCAGCTGTGAAACTGCAGCGTAGGTTGAGTGCAAAAGGCTTTTAATGCTGTCTTACAGTTCCTCAGTCCTTTTTACTGTAACATCTTCATTCTTGTGACTGCTGCTGTTCTGACATAATGGTATGAATGAAGCATTTTACATTTCAGTTTGATCTAATTTTTCATAGTCCGCTTTGAAATGTAAGTTTTCACCTTAACTCTCCCACACCACTATTTTTGTATTAGTCATAGCTATAAAACATAAAAAAGAAAACAAAAAAGAGGAGGGGGGGGGGCAAGTAGACTCCTTAAACAAGGATTCTGACAAACTGCTGAAGTATATTTTTACAAAATGCTGTGATATCCAGTGAGTTTCAAATACCATCGGATTTAAACTTTCTGGGCTGCCTCAAGTGTAATAGACAATTTACTGCTATTTCTTTTTCCTTTTAGCACTTCTTTTTGGCGGAGATATTAATCCTGCTCATCCCAAGCATATTGGAAGTATTGATCCTAATTGTAATGTGGCAGAGGTGGTTAAAGGTAAGATGAAGTTTAATATTTTAGATTTAAAAAAAAACCCAAAACAGCACAACTTAGAAAATGCATAAATATGTTAGAGATACAAAAGACTGAAGGTGATTTAAATTCATTTAATAAAATGAGAAAGTTCTTCAGCTGCTCACAATACAGCCATGGACTTACTGGGATTTTCTAGTGTCTCCATTACGGAGAGTGGAGAAACCTTTAGTAGGTTAACAGAACTCATAAGGCAAATTATTTTTTTAATAACTTCAATCTGTCCTTTTAAATATCAGATCAAGTGTCTAAGTGGTTTGTTAAACTTCAGATTTTTTTCCCTATAAGACTTAGAAGCAGGTTCTAATGTACTGCTTTATGCTGGTACTGAAGAAAATTAAAAGTAAGTGAAATTTTCCAGTTTGTTCAGTTTCAGTAAGATGTCCTCAAGTGTACAGATTCTCCAGTGAAACTTCCCATTACAGTGTGTGTCTGACGGTATCACAGCCTGTTCTCTCTTACACAGGAGGCATGTATGTGAGGGGTGTACATGAGTCGTCTGGCACAGTCGCATTAAGAATCCTGTTCGCTTAATAAATCCTGCTTGCTTAATGTTGTGAATGCTCCTGTGCTTTCAGAGTGTTAGTACGTAGAATGAAGCAATGCTGCCTGCTTCAGGAACTTGTTTATTGAAGGTTCAGGCTCTGGGTGTATCTGTTTACAAATGCAGGTCTTGCTGTAGGAGTGAATTCCACCCTCTGTCCTTCTCTCCTCTTTGTGCAACTGCAAGAGGGGAAGAATGTGTTTCTCCCCTTCACTTTCAGCCTTTGGTGAAGTAAGAGGGACACCTTTCTTCTGTCAGCCTTTGGCCTGCATGATAGCTTGCTCTGTAATCTAGATGCTTTTTACTGTTACGAAGGCTTCTTACCTGCTAGTTCTTTTGGGCTCTAAGGCGGCCTTTTTTTAGCAGCTTTTCTTTTGATTGATCTTACTCCACTTTGACCTCAGCATTGTATATGTTACAGTCCTGTTGTTTATTTAGATATTCCTTCTAATAGCCAGGTTTGAATCTATTTTGATGGTCAAATTCATAGTCACTGCCTTGGGCTGAGGAGCGTCAGTCCAGTTCTCAAGCCAGTAGCTAAAAGAGATCTTCCACATCTGAAGAAATAATGGCTACCAAAAGGAGGGCATCATAAGCAATGTCCGGTGTTGTCTTTCAAAGAAACAAGATGTCCTTAGAGACGGAGCCTGTCCAGAGTCAAGGTGAAGGAGGCCATTTCCTTGTAGAACTGCTGGAGGGGTTAATTGCATTCTGTGTACTGTGCTAGCTCCAAAATGTTCTGGTTCACAGGCGGCATCAAGCAATTTGTCAGAGTTAAGATGTTGATTTTGGCACTGTATGTGGCAGCTATGAGCTCTGTATGCCCTTCAAACGTTGGAGAACTTATTTAAACAGTTACTTCTTACTTCAAGCAGCTCCACCAAGTATTGTGTCTGTAACTCCCTGAGGTGGGTCTCTCTATCTCACTGACTGTGCTAAATAAGGTGGTTTGGTCTGACAGCAAATCCAGGCTTGGTCCTGGAGCTGGGGTTTTAGATGTACTGGTAGATCCTTCACTCTTGTTGCTACTTACCTCCAGCCACGACATGACGAGTACTTTGAACTTTGCAGTCTCTTTTATGGTCTTAGGATTCTGCCAAAGAGTTGGCTTTTAGAAGAAAGTAAATTGTAAGACTGCACTCAGTTTTGCTTGGGGCTGGATATTTTACTGGATCATGAAGTGATAGTGCCCTCCCGTTCATCTTAACGGTGTTAGGGTGGCTAACTCTCGAAAAGGGATGAGCCTTCTATGTTAAATTTGGGAGGGCTGCATGGATTTATTCAGAACCTTTTTGTTTTCTCAGGGTTTGCATAGTGGCTGTGTCTGCTCCGCATCCGTGTATTGAGGGCTTTTGGTTTATTCCCATACAGTTATTGACTTGGTTCTTGGAGGCCTTGAAGTTTTTCTCTGCAATAAGGATCCAACTCCTGCCCACCGGATCCGTATCTAATCTTAATTTCTGTGACTTTGAAATGGGCTAACCTATTCCTTTCTTCATGCAGATGGCCTTCTGGCCATACCAGCTACATTGCTATCTTCAGCTTTTGATGACTGAATCAGGATTTTGGCTGTGCTTCTTAGGCCCCTTTTTTTTTAAAAAAGAACAGGATTACTCCCAAGACCATCAGAAGTTCTGAGGTGCTCTTAGAAAATTGTGTAAGTGTAGGTATTCCTGCATCCTTTTTCCTTAATGCACATCTGAGACTGAGGTTCTCTGTACAGGTTGGATATTAAATGGGTTTTTGATCTCTTTACTAGGGCATATTTTATTGTATTCATGACAGTACCTTTTCTAAAAGTCTTTGGAGTTGACTGTCTTGCCACTAAAGATTCCTACTGGATAGCTTATTTTGTGAAGCTTTGCCAAGGCTTCATCAAGAACATTCCAGTGTTGATTAGTGCCGTTTTACTAGAGCTAAAGCAGCATTTGTGTCAGCCTTGTGTGGTGTGTCCAGCCTTGCAGATGTCAAAACAACTGATAGACCTGTTTTTTCAGATAACTAGGGCTCATAAATTATTTCTGTAGACATCTTGAAGGAGAACAATTCTAGGTAACCAGCCCTTTCTGGGGACCAGTGATTTTACTTCCTATCACATTGCTCTGAGTCTTGGCAGTGACTGTTTCGTTTTGAAGTGTCACCTTGGACAGGAGGAGGAAGATATACGTAGGGCGAGGTGAAGTGCAGTTGCAGTGATATCTTAGCCAATTTCTCTCTGCAAAACTGTCCATGTGTTTACGTGCTTGCTCTTAGCCCGCATGTGTTACGAGGAACCCAGTTTTAAGGCAGCTTAAGCAATGTAGTTAGAACATCTCTGAGTCTGGGGTCTCTCTTTAAGCTGACACTTGCTGCTTTTTTCTAAAACATTTTTGCAGATGAGGTGCCAGTGTGTATTTAGAACCATTAAGAAACCTGTCAAACAGAAGATGGCAAACTTAAGGGAGACCTTACAGCACCTTCCAGTACCTGAAGGGGCCTACAAGGAAGCTGGGGGGGACTTTTTGCAAGGGCCTGTAGCGACAGGACAAGGGTTAACGGGTTTAAATTGAAAGTGGGGAGGTTTAGATTAGATATCAGGAAGAAGTTCTTCACGGAGTGGGAACAGGTTGCCCAGAGAAGCTGTGGATGCCCCATCCCTGGATCTCTTCAAGGCCAGGCTGGACAAGCTGGTCTTGTGGAGGGTGTCCCTGCCCATGGCAGGGGGGTTGGAACTGGGTGGTCTTTAAGGTCCCTTCTAACCCAAACCATTCTGTGATTCTATGAAACTTTCTTGCTGTATTTTGATGACACATAAAGCCTGATTTGGATTATTGGGAGTGGGTTTTGTTTGTTTGTTTGTTCAGTAGGAAAGAATGAAGAATCTTAAAGATTCAGCTTCCCCCTCAGAAGACCTTGAAAATCAAGTATTGTGAACAGTATCATGTTTGGAAAAACTGGATTTATGGTTGCAATGTCATCTTTTTTTGAGATGGAAAGAGCAAGCATTAAATTATGATCGGGCCGTGACAAATAAGTAGATATTATGGTCAGCCTGTGATTATACCCTTCTGGTTTTCAAGCCCTGAACAAAGACGAAAAATAGCTTGTCTCTAGTAATCTGCTTTTGTTTGCAGAGCTTTAAATAGAATTTGCCCAATCTTGACAAATGGGCTGTAAGCCTGCAGAGAAAAAGGGATTAGAATGGATAGAAGTTTTACGCTTGTGAACTGGTTAATCAAATGAGTGTTCTGCTTGTAGTCTTATACGTACAAAGTGATTTTTGCTAGTTGTCTCTAGAGGACTTTGACAAATCAGTGTTTTGTTGTTTTGTAGATGCTTATGAAACAGCTAAGATGTTGTGTGAACAGTACTATATGGTGGCACCTGACCTGGAAGTTGAAGAATTCAATGGTAATTTTTAAATTAAGTGATGTATGTAAGAAATATTTCTGATACCTATGTTTTCTAGTTTTGTTAATTAATTGTAAGTTATAATTTTAACTCTGGAGTCTTGCTGCAGAGTTACCCACGTAGACACATAAGAAAAGTATCTGAATTAACAGTTTATCATCATGACATACTTGTTTACTTGTTGATGCTGAATGCAGAGTGCTATCTGCTGAATTTGCTTTCACTTTAAGGGAAATAAAGTGGTCAAGAATCTTCATAACTGGGAAGGAGACATGCCTGCCTTCTAACTAATCTTTTAATAGAGCTGAAATTTGTTTTGAAGTATGCTGGTAAATTCCACTGTCAGCCCTGTGCTGGTGGCGAGCTCTTCTGTGTAAAATGGCAAAATAAGAAACTTCTTTTACATAGTCTGTGCTTTTAAGTCCGGTCACAAACTTCTCACATGAAAAGCTGTTTCAAGTTGATTGCAAAGATGAAAATGGAATGCTACGAAACTGATGAGACAGTTCTTGTCAGTGTATTGACTGATTTTTGTTCATTGTTTCTGTTGACAAAAGGTAGAATTTTTTAAAGTTAAAAAAAAAAGTCTTGAGTGATCTTTTCACAAATTTTGGGCAGCTGTCCAAACATAAGCCTGAAATGTTTCCAAACCTCAGCAGTGAATTGCAGAAGTCTCAGAAAGGGGTAACACTCAAAATGGAAAGTGTTACCTATGTGGAAACATGTTGCTCAAAGTACTATTTAGTATTGTAGGCATACTTGTCTGCACAAAGTGATCTTCTCCACGCAGATGCAATACTACCAGCCCCTCTGGCAAAATCCAAGGACCCAACCTGCCCCCACCCACCAGTCTGCCTTGATTTTGTGATTCCTGAGAGAATTGGAGGGTGCACTCTGACAAAATTAGTATAATAAAAGAGCAAGTTGCCTTGCAGCTAATTATGCAGAGCATTGTTTTGGTCTTCTCCTTTTCCTAGGAGTTTTCACTGCTGTGTGTCTTGAAGTAATAACTGGTGTTATCATCAGCCCTGGGGGCCAAAAAGGATGAAGTGACTCCAGTCACGTTCTGTGGGCATGTCCGTATCTTCCTGCAATTTATGAAGCAGGCACTTAGAGACTCCTCAATCTGAACTGCTGCTGAGTCTGACAAGCTGTGGCTGTGTAATTTAATGCCAGTAGATAGTTGAATATTCAGGGGTGACTGCATCTTCAGCATCCAAACCGTCCTGGGTTGTATCAAATGCAGCTGTACTGTTTCCTGCCGGATCAGTTAGCACTGGAGCATTCAGAGTGGTGCCAAGCCATACACCCCTGTTGGAGCCCTAGTAACAGGACAACAGTGGACAAACAACTCAGTTATGATTTGGAATAAGAGAACTGTGATACTGTTTTAAAAATATTTCGGAAATGTTTATGAACGCTTTATACATTTTATAACATTTTATGTGTTAATTAAGGGGCACATAGCTGGTTTTAGAATATTTAGAATTTTTAGAATATTTAAAAGGTGATTTTTTTTTTTAGTTTAAGAACCTTTTTGTACAGCAGATGCTGTGCTTAAATATTGTTTGTGTTTAAGAAAGAGAAAGTTTCCCACTTAAGTGGAAAAGTTTTCTCTTAGTTAACATACATAACATTGTCAGTACTAAACCAACCACTGCTTAGTGAAGTTCTATATCTAAATAAAGTCTGCTGACGTAGAGGTCTTTGAAAATCATTATTGGAATGTGTTATTTAAGGCAATAACTGTAACTGAAATTTACATTTTTACTTCTTGGAGCTGATCTTGCACTTGGGGAATTAGAACACGCTTACATACTTGTCTTTGCCCACGGTTTCATGCTGTTCCTGTAAATAGAAGTACTACAAAATAATGATCTGAAAAAAAAAATAATTTGCATTTTTAATTTTTATTTTTTAGCTAAAGCTCCGAACAAGCCTATTCAAGTAGTCTACGTACCTTCTCATTTGTTTCATATGTTATTTGAATTATTCAAGGTAGGTTGCACTTGTTAATGTTTGGAAGGGGGTTGGGAACTTATGTTACTGTTGAAAAAGAGAATCTTTTCAGTTATAGTCCATAAATGTTGTTTCAGTTTTCCTTTCTTAAGCTTACTCTTAAGCAAGTAAAGAGTGTGTGAAACTGGTAAAAGCTAGTTTACAGCCCTCTCATGCCCTTGTGTGTTAAAAAAAAAACCCAACTGTTTTCCCACTTCTCCTTTTGTGCCTTTGCAGCTGATTAACTTAAAACACTCATAGTCTGTTTTTGCAGTGTTGATAGACTCATTACCTTGCAGTTTTCGTAAGCTTGCCTGTTTATGGCATATTTGAGGGCGAGTTGGGATCAGTGTCTTTTACTGTGAGAACAGCCCATATGTCTTTGAACAGTGTAAATGACACGCTTTGTTTTGGTTTTATTTGTGTTTTCTGAATAATTGGATCAGTGAAAATGTAACATGTGGAAGCTATTGTATGCTTTTCAGTGAGATACGTGGTCTCTAGGTGGTGCAATTGAGCACTAGAAATTCAGGGGAAAACCGCATTTGGTCAGAGAAACTTTTCCTAAATAACGGTACTTTAGGTTTGATTTCTGATGCTTGTCAAATATGTTCAGTGAAATCTTCACCTATTTTGCCATTTGTAACATTAGCCCTAGGGCAGAGCAGGCAGGGGTTTGTACACTGCTTGTGGGTGTGTGTCCGTACCAGTTAGGAAACGGTATGAAACCAGTAAGTTGTAGCTGTAACTAATGGTAACCTGTGATGGCCTGGTAGTGGAAACTCTGTTAATAGACAGGATAAAGTCGGATTGATACATGATAACAATTATATGACCCAGGCTGAGAAAATCTAAGCTTGTTCTGTGGTGAACATCACTATTAGTTTTCTGCAAGGTGGTGCTGAAGGACGTTGTCATCCTTTGTATGTAATTACCTAATCTCACGTAGAAAAAGAAAATTCTTGCTTTATGCTCTCTGATTCTATATCAAATAGATAAAAGTATGTATAATGAAGTTCTGATGTAAACATTTAACTGGACAACTCTTTGCCTTGAAAGCACTTGAATTTGTTTTAAATACAGCCTTTTCTGTCTTGTACACAAATGCAGGGCCAAAGTATCTGAATTCAACAAAATAAAGGCAAGGTGTAAGTTGTCACAAAAAGCGTATCTGGTAAAGCTAGAATCAAAGACACTTATTTCTTTTATCTTCAGAATTCAATGAGAGCTACAGTGGAACTGCATGAAGGTAAGAGAGAAGGCTATCCGTCGATCAAAACCTTAGTCACTTTGGGGAAAGAAGATCTATCTATTAAGGTAAATACGTAAAAATAATATGCGGTTTACAAACCTGCTAGCCTTAGAAGAGGATGACTTGTAATCTGAAAAGGCAAATTAATTACTCTACCACTTCCGACACTTGCTCCATATTCATTAGGACAGACTATTTCAGTTGGAAGGCACCTACAGTGACCATCTAGTCCAACTGCCAGACCACTTCAGGGCTAGCCAAATGTTAAACTGACTTGTTAAGGGTGTTGTCGAAATGCCTCCTGGACAGTGACAGGTCTGGGGCATGGACCACCTCTCTGGGAAGCCTGTCCCAGAGTTTGACCACCCTCTCGGTAAAGAAGGGCTTCCTAATGTCCAGTCTGAACCTTCCCTGGTGCACCACTGCCATGCATCCTGTCAGTGGATACCAGGGAGAAGAGACCAGCACCTCCCTCTCCACTTCCTCTCCTCAGGAAGCTGTAGAGAGCAATGAGGTTGCCTCTCAGCCTCCTTTTCTCCAAACTAGGCAAACCCCAAGTCCTTAGCTGCTCCTTTTAATACTTCTAAGTCATTTATATAATGCTGCTTGACTTTTGCAGGTTTTTTTTTTCAGAACATGATGTTCAAAATTCTTAACTTTTCATTCCCTAGATAAGTGATCAAGGTGGAGGTGTACCTTTAAGAAAAATAGACAGGTTGTTTAACTACATGTACTCAACAGCACCCAGACCTAGCTTGGAGCCCTCAAGAGCTGTGCCTTTGGTAAGCAATTGCAAGTTGTGTTTAAATGTCCCTTTGCAGTACTCCAGTGGTGCGTTTCCCTTCATGGCGATCTACTGGATCAGATTTTCCGCTGAAGAAATTAGCACTTCTGTACAGGGAAAACATACCGGGAGAAAATGGTTTCTGTTATCATCACTTAGTCTTTGGAACAGAAAATTGCTTTTCTTTGTCTTGACATTATATTCTTGGAAACAGCCAGGTCTGCACAAGCACGACATTTTCACGGGTTAACAACAGGATTTTTAGTGCTGTATTACTGAGAGGGTGACTAACCTGATGAGCTGCTCCTTGGTGTGTAGGTTACTGTTGGTCTAAGCTTCCTGTAATAAGTGCATTGAAAAGCTGAGCCACACTGTCAGAATTAGAGCACTTGAGAAACACCCCAGGTAATGCACAAGCTAATAGTGAACTCGGGAAATTACTTTTGTGTGAGTTATGGACTATAAAAACACATTAAAAAAAATTCCCAAGCCTCCATGTGGTATGAACACTCTTGGTGTATTCCTGTTCCGTTGGAGATACCTCACGTGATACTGCCTTTTGAGATGTATCAGGGTCAGATTTCAAACAAACAGAGCTTTACCCACAGTTTTTCTAAGCAGGGAATTTTCAGTGTTGAATGCCTAGATTCTTTCAGCAATCATTTGATTTAAAAAATACATTAAATTTAAATTACATGTTGGGTCGTTGTCATTAAAATGATAGAGCTGCTGTTCCATTTGGCTTTCAGTAAGTGGATTAATACTGTATTCTTGCTTCTTCTCACCTTTGTTCCCTGTTGCTTTGATGTATTCTTTTATCTTCAAGCATGTGGAGAAGTTAGTTTGAGAAACTTCTTTTTGCTATTTAGAAACACTCATCTAGTATGTTCTTAAGTGATTTGTTTGTTTATTTTCCTGATACCTCTGTTCTTCAAATGCCTTTAGGCAGCTGATAAAATGTGGGGCAGAGAGAATGTGACTGTTTCTGATCGAAAATAATTAACAGTCAGCTGGGGGTGGAACCAGTTCAGAGTGGTTCAGGCTCAACAACTTTTATTTTAGCAGAATCACAGAATGGTTTGGGTTGGAAGGGACCTTAAAGACCATCTAGTTCCACCCCCCCTGCCAT